GCCATGTCCTGACTTTAAGTCTTTCGGGGTTTTTCTCAGTGGCTGCACAATCACATTCTGATTCTTCAGAAAGTCATTCAAAAATCTTCACCTTGTGTGGCCAGGCGCAGTGGCTCACACTTGTAATCCCAGCACTTTGGGAGGCTGAGTTAGGAGAATCTCTTGAGGCTGGGAGTTCAAGACTAGCCTGGCCAACATGCCAAAACCCTGTCTCTACTAAAAATACAAAAACTAGCCAGCGAGGTGGTGCATGCCTGTTGTCCTAACTATTTGGGAGGCTGAGGCATGAGAATCGCTTGAACCTGGGACATGGAGATTGCAGTGAGCCTAGATCTCACCACTGCACTCCAGCCTTGGTGGCAGAATGGGACTCTGTCTCAATAATAATAATAATAATAATAATAATAATAATAAAAACGGCATCCACATTATAGCCCTGAGCCCCTTCTCTTCCCATATCACTTTCCACTCTATGTCCTCTGTCTTCTAGTACATGGGCCCCGTCTTAGTCCATTTTCATGCTGCTATGAAGAAAAACTTGAGACTAGGTAATTAATGAAGGAAAGAGGTTTATCTGACTCCACAGGAGTCCACAGGGCTAGGGAGGCCTCCACAGGGCTAGGGAGGCCTCAAGAAACTTAGAATCATTGCGGGAGTGGAATCGAACTTGTCCTTCTTCACATGGCTGCAGGAAGGACAGTCCTTAGCAAAAGGGGGAAAGCTCCTTACAAAACCTTCAGATCTTGTGAGAACTCACTTATCACAAGAACAACATGAGGGTAACTGCCCCATGATTCAATTACCTCCCACGAGGTCCCTCCCCCAACACGTCGGGGTTACAATTTGGATTACATTTAAGGATGAGATTTGGGTGGGGACAAAGAGCCAGACCATATCAGGCCCTGTGTGGTTGGCAGAATAATGGTCCCCCAAGATACCTGCCCTCTGATCCCTGACACCTGTGAATATGGCACATTACATGGCTAAAGGGGCTTTGCAGGTAGAATTAAGGCTGCAGATCTTAAAATGGGGAGAACACCCTGGCTGATTCAGGTGGGTCCAATGTACTCACATGCACTCTTAAAGATGACCCAGGGGGGCAGGCAGGCCATAGAGAGTGGAAGAGGCGGGAGAGAGTCACAGTGCAAGAGGGGCTCTTTCCACGGGTGCTGGCTGTCAGGATGAGAGGGGCCATGAGCCAGGGAGGGCAGGTGGCCTCCAGATGCAGAGGGCAACCCCGGCCAGCAAGGAAACTTCGTTCCCACAGACCCACAGAGCTGGATTCTGCCAGCAACCCCAATGAGCCTGGTTGCGGATTCTCCCCCAGAGCTCAGCCCTGATGACACCTTGATTTTGGCCTTGAGAGACGGAGCGCAGAAGCCGGCAGAGCCCGTGAGATTTCTGACATCCCCCGGGAAGTGTAAGATAATACACTTGTCTTGTTTTAAACTATGCTAGTAGCAGTTTATTCCGGCAGCCATGGGAAACGTTGCCCCCGCACGTGTCCTCTTTCCGTGCTTTCTTGTGTGCTGATGCTGCTGTGGAGAACACCTGTTCTCTAGCTTGCCACTAAGTTAAAATCTCACCTGTCCTGGAAGGCCCAGCTTCCACGGCCATCCCTGAGCCCCACTGCCCTGCCCCTGATGACAGAGCAGAATGAATTACGGTCTTCTCTGTGCTTGGAGAAGTTTGCTTCTATCTCAACACAGTGCACATGCTGAGTGGTTAGCATCTACAAAATGGTCGCCTTTTGCTGCACTCTGACCCTTGTCCCTAGCCCAGTGCCTGACAGTCTGTCAATCAGGTGTTTATTGGGAGACTATGTTGTGCCACACGGATGTGTTGTAGGTGCTAGGTATACGGGGATGCCTAAATCAGACCCAGGGCCCTTCATTCTGTCACGGACCTCCTAGGCTACACATATTCACTGCCTCGTAAACATCTGCTAAGTTAATTAAACTAAGACCTCCTGGGGACAAGGAAGCCACAATCACCAGGAAGCAGGATTAGCCTGGTCTCTCTGTCAGGGCAGCCTCATGTGTATGCACACACGAGTCTTCTCCCGCACCGTGGACCATCTGCCGTCTGCGGGAAGATGTGGGGCACCAGGAACGCTCATCGCGGGGTTGTGTTTGGTTCAGCCATGATGTGCCGGGGCCATAACAGAGTGCTGCTTTCCTTGTTCTCCTCAAACTTCCTTTTCTATAAAGTGACTGCGATAACATTTACACACATCGCTTCCAAAAGGCTTTTCTCACATTCGTCATGATGTGTAATCTGATGACAAACCTCGGTGCACAGGGAAGTACAGCAAAGAAAATGTTTGATGGATTATAATTGCCTAGCTGTTTTATTCAGTCCTTCTCGCTGGAAAGTCCCTAGTTATCTAAGTTAATCCGGGGCTGCTATGCTAATTGGCTAGCCTTTTTTTTTTTTTTTTTTTTTTTTAAATATAGGCATTTACAAAAAGTAGCTCAAGCTAAGGTTTGCTTATGTTTGCAAATCAAGCAAGATCTAAATCTCTTAGGAGGCCTAACTGGGTTTGTGTTTGCTCAGTAGAGTATCCAACCACTTCTGGCTTGGAGCTGTTTGGATTGGTGTTTTTACAAATAAACTCTAAACTTTTATGGTGCCTCAGTTTACCATTTAACAGAGGCCTCAGAAGAAATCCACCCTGCTGACCCCTCGATCGCAGATTTCTAGCCTCCAGAACTGCGGGCAGATAAATGCCTGTTAGTGATACTGCCCAGTCTGTGGGTCTTACGGCAGCCCAAGCAAACGAACCTACTTGCCCGTGGCTTTATTTAAGTTCCCTTCCATTCTTGGCCTCTCTGACCCCCACTGTCTACTTTAATCGCTGTGACCAAGTCCCCATCTCCATGGTGCAGGTGGGGGCCAGGCTGGCTCAGCAGGGCCTTGAGCTGGCATGGGGTAGCCCCAAGGCTGAAGAGTCACCAGTGATGAACAGAGACACAGAGTAAATTAAGTCGGGCTGAGCTGGAAGCTGGATGGAAGAGTCAGGGGCTCAATGCCAGAGAAGAGGCAGGAAGGGTTTCCTGTGCAGCAGGGGAAGAGGGTTGGATAGAAGCCTCAGCATGTGGACAACAGCCAGGAAGTGGAGGCTCCCAGAGCATTCTGGGAAAGAGGCTGAGGTTTCCAGCTGCTTGCCCCAATGGTTACCTCTGTGTGCAATTGATCTTGCTAGCCAGAGGTGAGGCAGCCTGGCTGGGAAAGCTGGGAGGAGATCCCCCTAGCTGCAGTGACATCTTTCCCCATGCTCTTTTGAGTCGTGATTCACACATTTCTCTTCCTCTTTCTGCTGGGAGACTTTTACAGGCTGGGACTGCTTCTTCCTTAAGGACCTCCAGGATGCACTCTTTGTACCTCAGCATCCAGCACTGAGCGAGACACAGTAACTCCCCTGTAGATGCAGGTTGAACAAAGAGATCAATGAGGAAATCAGTTTGCAACTACCACTTTCCTTTCAGTTTACGACTTTCATCTGCAATGCCCAATCAGTTTGGGGGAATGACTGGCCAAGATGGCAAAGCCAGGAGGAATTTGCAGCAGAGATTTTTACCCTCATTTCCAATTTAGTGGGGTCAGGTAACCTGAGGGTGATTCTGAAGGATAGCAGATAAAAACATTCTTGCTTCCGAAGGTTTCAAGAGCTCTGGAGACAGGTCAGGCATGAAAACTGAAAATGATGGCTCATCCTGTAGAACTCTACAAGGAAGAATTGGGCTGAGTAAATTATTGAATCGCAACTTTTTCTTTTCTTTTCTTTTTTTTTTTCCCAGTGGGAAGCTGAACATTTCAGAACAGCTATTATTATCACTAAAAAAATAGATGTCTAAAATTTATAGTGCTCCGTTTAGAGATTGAAAGATCCAGGCATTAATCACTTAAACCATTTTCTAATTCTATAAAATAAGATTAATGATGTGTCTTTTTTGTGATCCCTTTTCTAAGATTAAAACCTTTGATGTGGAAAATGTTCGTTGCTGCTCCTATTTCGAGGCCTGGGTGAATTACTTTACCGTCTCTGTCTGGGTCAGACCCCTGAGTCCACTGCAAAGTTCTTCCCATTTATTGGGTTTCCTAGATTTTCTAAATATATTGATTTAACTCTAATGGTTCGATTTATTCCAGAACTTTATTCACTAACTGCATGGCACTGTACTTTCTTACACAAGGGAGTTCTTTCATGGTTGACAGTGGAATTATTGTCAATCATCAATAGGAATACATGAACATGTCCTGTTTATTGTTCAGTAGGTAGAACTTGGATAATGAGGGATCCTGACTTGTTTGCATGAGGCTCCGAATGAGGATGTATTGTTGACATTTTAAGCGTAACTCAGTGGATAAGCAAGAAAGAATAGTTCAGAGGATCATTCACCAAAGTCCTCTTATTGTGACCCAGGATTAAAGTAAGTGGCAAAGTCAACAAAAATGCCAACCTCCAAATATGGATAAAGCCTCCTCCCTCCAAACGATCCCCGCCCCCACTCCAAACTACCCCCGCCCCCACTCCTGGAGCTTCACTGTGGCCAGAGGCTGCTGTCCCGGGCAGTGCTGCAGCCTTAGACCCTGCTCACTCATGAGACAGACCTGTGTTGTGTCTCAGCACATAGCCTAATGTGCGACTCCTTCTGCAAACATCACTCTAGTTTCAATATGGCTCTTCCCTAATTTAACCTGCGTGACTGATGTTGGTTGTATTCAGCGATGGGTCAGGAGCTCAAGACCAGCTTGGCCAAGATGGTGAAACCCCGTTTCTACTAAAAATACAAAAATTAGCCAGGCGTGGTGGCATGTGCCTGTAATCCCAGCTGCTTGGGAGGCTCAGGCAGAGAATTTCTTGAACCTGGGAGTTGGAGGTTGCAGTGGGCCAAGATCGTGCCACTGCACTACCAGCCTCTGGGAGACACAGCAAGACTCTGTCTCAAAAAAAAAAAAAAAAAAAAAAAAAAAAAAAAAAAAAAAAAAAGGAATGTTTGGCTCCTTTTCCACAGCTTTGCATCTTGACCTTGGTATTTATTCTTAAGTTGATTTATCTGGTTCTGGACCTCTTGAACAGCAGTGGTTTCTACCTCAGCAGTACTGAAGAGCAAAAACTCCCAGAGGGAGAGCAGCTGTCAGAGGAAGTAGCCACCACCAGTTCCTCCCGGCAAAAGAAGCATTTTGAGGTTGTTCAGTCACTTGGCACCTGGAGGGTGATGGTGACTGGTTTCCAAGCTCTGATTTCTGAATGCTGTCATTTTGCATCCCCGTCCCTATTCTTGCAGTTTGTTGGGTCCCTTTCTGAGGAGTATTATGATATCCTGAGCTCAGCGCTGAAGGTTGCTTATCATGAGCTGTGAAGTTTTGACTTTGTGATGACTGCCAGAATGATTCTGTATATTGACTAGATGATCTGCTGGTTTGATCTCCGGATTCATCAGAATCCCTGGATCTGGCTCCAGCAGCAGGGGCCCTGCTGTGAGAGCCGTCTTGATCATCTTCTTCAGTTTCTTCTTCAGAGAAACTGACCTTCTGTTGGACACTGGTGGCTTCTAATTCACTCGTTTTCGTATTTCCATTTGTTCTGTATGTTGAACCAGATTCTTGGGTTTCGTAAGCCAGGGCTGACATAAGCGGATGACAAGATCTTCACTCACCACTGGAGCCTCTTGTGTGCCCCCGACAGTGTTCTTTGAGATTGTTTGGCTTAAATCACTTTGGGAAGATGGTTTATCGTCTTCAGAGGAATGAGAGGCCGACAGGCCACTCCTGGTCGTAGCAGGAGACGGCCGCTGCTGAAGGCAGGTAGCCCTGTGCGTCCTCACCTCCTCGGCTTCCTGGGGTCGCGGCTGCCTGCGCCGCCTAGGCTGAAGGTAGTACGTGCTTTCTCTCACTTCCGGGGTTTTCTAAATTGACATCTAATTCCTCTTCCCAGGCTTTACTCAATAAAGCCAATCGTGATCGATCATGGAAACGAGTCCTCACATCAGTGTTATCAATTCACCAAGCATTGCTAGGACTTTTTACTTTGTTTTGGAGATCCAAAAATGCTTCTGGGCTAAACCCTCAAATAGCAGAATGAGCAAGAGGTCCCGGGGGGAGCTTAGAGGTCTGGGTCTCAGTCCCCAGCCCCCCACTTCCTAGTGAGGAGCTCCTGAGTCACTACCAAATGACCGGCGCTAACGTGGACTGAGGGTTTACCAGGAGCCCGGCGAAGTTCAAAGCACCTTTCCTGCATCTCCACTGTGGACATGGGACAGTGAGGTGACAAGGGGAGCTCAGTCACCAGCGAACCTTAGTTTCATCTGTGCAGTAATAATGCCTCCCTCCCATCCTGGCCGGTGGGATTATTGGAAGCTTGAGTGACACTGAGTGTCTAGAAAGTGGTTTGAAAGCTGCAGCGTTCTGGTGGATGAAAGTGGGAGGCCCTCATATTCCCACTTAAAAGCTTCTGGTTGACACATGATTTCTCCCCTTTGCAGGAAGCTGACAAGAAGCATGCTGCTGAGTGATCCTGGGTTCCCATCCCTCGCACCCGCACACCCACGTGTGGGCCCAGCCAGCGAGGAGAAGTCTAATAGGCAGGAGGAGGGGAGGCAGAAGGAGCGCCCGCGGTAAGTCACGGGAAGCCACTTGCACTCTGACTTCTTGTAGCTTCCTCGATATTCTGTAGTGGGGAGGTCCCATGACTGACGTGGGGGTTACAACGGGAAGGAAAGGTCCCTCTCCTCCCATCTGGAGGTGTTGAAGCAGCACTGGGCAGAGCCCAGGGTGGTACCTCTGGGGCTATGTCGGGACACGGGTGTTCGGTGGGCTGGAATCTCTATTTCCCCAACAAAACATCTCTGACCTGGTTTAAGACCTTGGAGGTCCACACACACATTTCATGGGACCACAGGGGTGTGCCACCAATTACCAGTGCAGCTAATTTCATTATTATTTTTTAAATGGATATGAGGTCTTGTTGTGTTGTCCAGGCTAGTCTTGAACTCCTGAGCTCAAGAAATCTTCCCGCCTTGGCCTCTGAAAGTGCTAGGATTGTAGGCGTGAGGCACTGTTACATTTTATTAAGGTTCTGTTTGCTTCTGCATCTTGGTCCAACTCCTAGCATGGTCAGTTATCAGCAGGTTGGTTTCTCTTATGCCACTGTGTGTTCCTGAAGGAGAAATATTTTATTTTTTCCTTGTGCCCGCCCTCAAAGGATGATCAACTTTTTAAGCTTTCACTCCAGAATTTATAGGCTTCCAGTCAATGCCCTCTCTTGCAAATGGTCCCACAACTACCCTCTCTTCAATATACCTTTTTTTTTTTTGAGATGGAGTCTCGCTCTGCTGCCCAGGTTGGAATGCTGTGGTGCAGTCTTGGCTCACTGCAACCTCCGCCTCCTGGGTTCAAGCGATTCTCCTGCCTCACCTCCTGAGTAGCTGGGATTATAGGTGCCTGCCACCATGCCTGGATAATTTTTTGTATTTTTAGTAGAGACAGTGTTTTACTATGTTGGCCAGGCTGGTCTCGAACTCCTGACCTCATGATCGGCCCGCCTTGACCTCCCCAAAGTGCTGGGATTACAGGCGTGAGCCACTGCGTCTGGCCCAATGTACCTCTTTTGACAGAGCTCAGGGTACATGAAAATCTCCTCAAATGCAGAAAAGTCTTTGAGTGTGAATTTAATTTTCAGTGCATCAAGAAATAATTTAGCACTAGGAAGATAGCCTCTCTGACAGGAACGGTGTGTGCCTTGAGAGAATGGGTTCTTTGAGAGGGTCGGAGATGATTCTGAAGGCTTCTTAACATGACAGTGGTGCTATGCGGGTTGAAGTCAATCAGTCCTGTTATTTCAGAATTCTACTTTCTGCTTCCTTCCCAATCACAGCTCAGTCAGCCCCACTGTGGCTGGGGTTACAGGTGTGTGTGTCACTGCGCCCCACCGCATCAGGTATTGCATTTGATCACAAAATGCAGCGATTACAGAACGATTTTCCTATGTCTAATTCTGTGTACTAGGCGGTTCTCTGAAGGAACAGGCAGTCCTTGGGTCTGAGTTGAAAACAAGAGCTTACGTTCAGTCTCTCCAGGCACTGGTTAGCTGCATGCAACACAGCACGTCCGTGGATGCTGTATTCTGAAGAAGTCAGGATCACTAGCAACAGATAGGAAGACACCCTGGGTACGGCCTGCAATCCCAGCACTTTGGGAGGGATGGCTCGAGTCCAGAAGTTTGAGACCAGCCTGGACAATATAGAAAGACTCCTGTCTATACAAAAAATTAAATTAATAAAAGGCCACCCTGGGCAACATAGAGAGACCCTGCTTCTATGAAAGAGATCCCCCTTCCTTTTTTTTTCTGAGACGGAGTCTCACTCTGTCACCCAGGCTGAAGTGCAGTGGCACGATCTCGGCTCACTGCAACCTCCAAGGTTCAAGCGAGTCTCCTGCCTCAGCCTCCTAAGTAGTTGGGATTACAGGAGTGCACCACCACGCCTGGCTAATTTTTGTATTTTCAGTAGAGACGGAGTTTCACTATGTTGGCCAGGCTGATCTTGACTTCTTGGTCTCAAGTGATTTTCCTGCCTCAGCTTCCCAGGCAGGTAGGATTACAGGTGCATACTACCTAACCTCGTTTATCCCAGATTTTTAAATTGAATTTTTTATTCCCTTCTCTGGGAGAAATACGGAAAGGACTAAAACACAGTGGTTTTCACTTGTTTGCGTGTTGGAAGTGAGACTGCCTTTAGAGCCTCTTTTCCAATATTACTATAAATTAAACTAACTTTAAAGTGACCAACTTTCCTAGCAAGCTTACTGCACTGTCGAAAGGCCCTTGTGGTCTAAAAGCCAAAGGTCAAATCATATGTGTTAAAGATAAATGGTGCCATTATTATTATGTGGGTGTTCACCGTGTTTAGGCAGTGTGTTTAGTTTTACTTTGTTTATTCACTTAACACCTGCCTGGAGTGTCTGTTATATCTCAGGAACTGTGATAGGCACTGGGGAAGCAGAAGTCAGTAAGATCCATGGAGGAGGCTAGTAGTAAAGACAGAAATTAAGACAAACAAACACAAAAATGCCTGAGAACTGGCTGGGCACAGTGGCTCACACTTGTAATCCCAGCACTTTGAGAGGCTAAGGTGGATGGATCATTTGAGGTTAGGAGTTTGAGACCAGCCTGGTCAACGTGGTAAAACCTCGACACTACTAAAAATACAAAAATTACCTGGGCATGGTAGCGGGCACCTGTAATCTCAGCTATTCGGGAGGCTGAGGCAGGAGGATCACTTGAACCTGGGAGGTGCAGTGAACCAAGATCGCGCCACTACACTCCAGCCTGGGTGACAGAGTGAGACTCAGTCTCAAAAGAAAAAAAATGCCTGAGAATTGTTGTGTTACCAAAAAGAAGGCACAGGGTGCCACAGGAGTCCCCAGCGTTTGGCTGCACCAGCTTTCCATCAGCTTTGCAACAATGCCCACGGCACAGGTGGGGAAACGGGGGGCTTACACAACTTGGTTTTGTAACCTCTTGCTCCAGAAAGAAAGAAAGAAAGAAAGAAAGAAAGAAAGAAAGAAAGAAAGAAAGCCTATTTATGGAGCAAGAGGTTACAAAACCAAGTTGACCAAACTCTATATGTTCTTACTACCCCATCTCCTCCCTGGCTTGGAATTTCCGTGCTAAAGATTCCAGATGGACCTTTATTTTTGAGACCTTAGAATTGGTTTAGGTTTATATGCTCCAGAACGCACTAGAAATGTCAGGAAGGGCACAGCCCTGGGTGAAGCAGGGTGTGTTGTGCCAAGAATTTTGTATGAGAAGCCAGCTCAACAGTGAAAGGTGGTGATCATTTTTCAAGTGTTCTTGGTTTTTCATGTGTCATAAAGTTGCATTATTCAGGAATAACCCCAAATCAAATTAAAACGTCTCTGAAAATCTGAAATGAAAAGCTTATTGATGCATGCTTACAAATGGCTGCCGTATATTCCCTGTGGCCTCAGGGCTGGAAGGCTGTGTTTTTTTCAGAGGTGACCAGGGACCATCCAAACACAGCTTCCTTCTGTTAATGTGACATTCTCTTAACCAGCATAGATGCTTCTGGTCTCATTCAGAGAGTGAATTCCTTCATTATCTGGGAAGGTGTGGTCCCACTCACTTTCAACAACGAGGGGCCACCTTCATCCTAACCCATAGGGTACAACTGGCCACGGCCTTGCCTATCCGTGTAACTCACAATTGTCATGCTATAGCCACGTGGGCCGCCCTGGCTGGGGCCATGTTTCCTTGGCTCCCTGGGAGGGGTGGTGATTATAACTATGTTCTGCAGTCCCAGTGAAGTACCCCAACCATGTGGGGAAAAGTCAACATGTTTTTTGGGGCAAGGTCAGCGCGCATGGGCAGAGTATCCTAGCAATGAAGCAGTGGTGTGCCTCCCAGGGACCCCAGGACAGTAGCCACGCTGCTGACACACACCTCAGACTCTAGGCAGCAGCCGCTACCTCCAGGGTTCAATTCCCAGTTCCACAGCCCGCTCTGTTCTCCCACGCTTCACCTCGCTCCAGAAGAAAGCTTTGTTTAATGCTTCAGCAAACTGCTATGGGCCTGGAAAGCCTTCCAGGCAGAGGCATTCTAATTAGCGTTGTGGCTTTGCTGGGAAAACCATTTTCCAGGCCTCAAAAAACTTCTGATGATTCTCTAACTTTTCATAAGGGTCCCTGGGCCATCTCAGCCATGAAGCTGGTTCTACTTAGGTTTTTGAATCAGAAATGCAGGAATTTTCCGCTGGTAGTGGCTGGTGCTGCCTCGAGATGAGTGAGGAGCAGGTGAACTCTCCCGCCTCCCACCAGCACCAGCCTGGATCAGGAGGGGAGAAGGAACACACTTGCATGTTTTACAACCAGACCCCATGGCAGAAAAGGGCCCTCGATAGTGGGTCTTAAGACAGATGAAAGGAACAAAAAGAGCCCTCGCTTGCTGCACCCCCCCAGCCACTGCCCATGGATGTCATCAGTTCGTCCTTCCCCTTGTTTATTCAGTATTGCTCCAGCAACCCAACATGTGCCAGGCAGAGGCCTCTGCTGGGGTACAGTGCTGCACCCTGAAGTCCTGTTCTGGCAGGGGAGACAGAGCATGAACAAATGAGCAAATGGACCCCGAAATGTCAGGTGGCGATGCTGCGCCAGCAGGATCAAAATCGGGGGGCTGAGGTGTGGGAGGTTGTGTGCACTACACAGAGCATCAGGGAAGGGGAGGTGGTCTCTGAGCAGAGAGCTGGGTGAAGTCAAGGAAAGTCCCATGAATATCTGGGAGATGTTTCTTCCAGGCAGAGGAAAGGGAATGAGCACCTGAAGGCTGGCACGGGGGTAGGGACTGGCTGCGGGGGACTTTGACCAGCAGCTCTGTCTTGGGACACAATCTTTAATCTCTGATAAGCGGTCCTTGTCCATGGAGCTGTCGTGGATAAATGTTTTCTGTAGTTACCTGTGGAGCACTGGGTCCTGTTCCTTTCTACGAGAGCAGCGGCTCCCAATTGGGACTTTGCTTCCCACAGGACATTTGGCAAACCTGGAGACATTGCTCAACTTGTGTGTGTGTGCAGGGGTGCTCCTGGCATCCAGTGGGTAGAGGCCAGGGGTCCTGCTAAGCATTTCATGGTGCACAGGACAGTCTCACAGCAAGGAATTAGCCAACTCAAAATGCCAAGTGAGCTGAGGTTAAGAACCCTGAGACCAAACAGAAGTGTCAGCAAGCACGGGGAAGGTTGCATGTTTTGACTGACAGTCACGGGGACCAGGCTCTGGAGGGCCTTGTGGAGTGGTGGAAGGCATACGGGGAAAAGGTGCCTTAGCCTCTGTGAATCCTTCTCCCATGGGAGAGAAGCTTGCATGGCTTACAGGTGAGACTCACCCCCACAGTGATGGGGACAGAGCAGACCACTGCCTGGGCCACTGCCTCGGACTCTATCATAGAGTTTAACAAAGACCAGTGTCAGAGCCTGAGATCACAAGCTCTGGCCTGGGATGGATGGATGGATGCTTTCTCTTTCTCTTTCAAGACCCAAGGCCACGGCTTGCCCATCTCACAGCAGTGTTCACTGGGCTAAGCAATTTGCGCACATTGACCTGTGATCTGCCCTCTGCTACAGCCTATTTTCGACATGGCAGCGCTGAGCAGTGAGCAGGAACATTCCTGGTGCAGGGTGGTCGCCTTTGCTGTGATCCGCCTGGAACGCTCCCTCCCCACTTCTCCTGCCCTTCCACCATCCGGGCCTCAGCTGGAACACTGTCCCCATGCAGAGGCTGCTACCCCTCCACGACGGTTCCCTCATCCTTGTTTTTATACCTTTTACCAGCTGAATTGAAAACAAGCTACTCAAATGAAGAAGTGCTTGTAGTATAATTAAATTACTTTGGTCTTGGAAACAGAAAATGGAGGACCCTCTTCCCCAGGACAATTTTAGGGAAGAAGCTTCCGATTAAACCACCAGCACCCCAAACTGAAATTCTACTTAAACGATTCCCTGATTTTTATACTTGGGGTACAATAAATGTATTTTAACTGCTCTGGCGGTATTGATGTATACCCAAGCCTGGCTGCTGCCCCTCACCGCTGCAACTGGCCTCCTGCCCCTCAGAGTGGGATCCTAAGTCCCAGTCTCCCAGGCTCTTTCTCTGGGTCCTGCACCTTCCTTCTCCCCATCTTAATTTAAAAAAAACAAAAACAAAAAACCTGCCCCGGGTCAAAGGCCCCTCAGGTGCCGGCTCAGTTGAGGTGTCCGTGGCGGGACAGAGGTGTGACGTGCTTCTCGGTACGGGAGGTGCTGGGTGGGAAGGGAGGAAGGGGTGGGAAGGGAATGGGGGAACAGCAACTGGGGCCTGGGAGGGACGGGGCAGGGGGCGCCCTGGAGGGCGGGCAGGCTCACCTCCTGCCCTCTCTGGGCTGGTACCTGCCCCACCTGATGCTGCCTGAGTCGGCATCCTGTCTGTCCCTGCTCGGCTGTGAGTCTGCCAGGCCCGCGTGGTTACCCCAGGAAACGGGAGCTGCACGAAGCCGCGTGCAGAATCGCGGGGGAGTTTAATAATCCCGGCTGGTGACTGCGGTCCCGCTGCTGCGTTCTTCCCCATCAGAACCCTCACAGGCCTCCCTTCAGCCCGACGCTCCAGCTTCCGAGGCCTGTCCGTTCTCTGAAGGGATTCTACACCTTTTAGGCTCTGGACTCCCTGTTCCTGATGTTTTTGAGGGGAGGGGTCTCTCCCCACTTCCCCATTAGCTCACATCATCTTTGTGCAAGAAGGATCACATGTCGGCGGCTGTGGGGAAGAAAGGGCTGGCACTGCTCTGAAGCTAACGAAGTTATGACATTCAGGAAAATAAGTCGGCTTCATTGGGCTTGGGGTAGGCACCTGAGCACTGGGAATTTTAAGAGCGTCCCAGGAGATTTTACTGTGCAGCCAGGGTTGAAGATCACTGAATTGGATGATACGTTCTCAACCCTTTAAAAAATGTGTATTTGTCTACGTAAATATATGAATATTTTTCCAGCCAGAGAAAGGTGGGGTCCCATTGGCTTCGTCTCCTGCGGCCCCTCCCTCTCACTATGGCTGTGACACATCAGTATTCAGCCACCTGGGGACTGCCTGTGACTGCGTGACCCGGGACAGGCCCCCTGACTTCTCTGTCGCGGGTCGTCTTATGCGTGAAATGGGACTCGTCAAGGCACCGGCTTCATTCGCCCGTCACTGCGCAGCCCCGCAGCGCCCCGCGCCGTGCATGACCTTGGCTCCTTCCTCTAACCAAGCCTTTTGCTGTGAAGGTAGCATCTCTTTTTACAAAGATCTGGTGGTGGGGGTTGGGGGTTGGGGGTTGGGGGGTGTCTTTTCCGGGGGCGTCTGGGCTTTGAGAAGCGCAGGGCCCGGCGGCCTTCCCTCTCCTGAGAGTGTTTTCAAAGTTAACTTTGGGACCGTTCCCGCGAGGGCCGCGCGGAAACTCGGAACCGGCCTTAGGGGATCCGAGCAAATTCCACCGTCGTCAAGTCCTGGTGCTCCGTGAAAGATGCTCTACCCCTCGGGGCTTCGGAGCCGGAGCATTTGTCGACGGTTCCTGCCCCTTTCCCCGGCTGCAGGCGCGAGGGTCCCGCCACCTCCCGGAGCCGCCCCCCGCGCCCTGCAGCCCGCGCCCTGCAGCCCGCGCCGCCCCTCGCGGCCCGCGGTCCTCACCTATCGGATTTCCTGTGCGCACCGCCGCGCGCTCCTCCCACCTCTTAAACGCGGAGCGGAAAACCATCCTCGGCCTGGACCCGGCGCCTCCGGGGACGGACTGCGCGCCCCCTGCGTCGGAGGGCCGGGATGCGGCTCTGAGCCCGCCGCGGCTTCCAGCTCGCCCGGGCCTGCCCGGGGCTGCCCCGCGCACGGTAAGGCCCGGGGCGGGGGCGCAGGGCGCGGGGCGCGCGGGCCGGGAGCGCGGGGCCGGGTGCTGCGGCGCGCGGGGGCGTGGGTGCCGGGCGCAGGGGACCGCGGCGCGGCCGCGCACTGCGGGCGTGCTCTTCTGTTTTCCTTCACTCCTTTTAAATGAAGGAAAAGGAAATTGTGGCAGACCAAATGTCATCAAACTTGGTGTGAAAACGTATTCATTTATAAAGTCTTACCGCTACTCACGCCACGCACCGAGGAAGTTGTGTCCCAGGGTGGGCACGGTGCGGACACGAGACTGAGGGAACCAGCACTGGATGGAAACACAATTAAAAAGAATAGCCCCATGTTAAACAACAACAGCAAAACAAACTCCGAAGCACCGGGCGGCAGGCCGCTCCTGCGGCGTGGTTGGGGGGTGGTCTGATAGGCAGGATGGTGAGAAAGGCAGCTTTCCATTAAGCGTGACACCAGGGGTTTTGACTTTGGGAGGACCAGAAGGGAGGCTGTAGGTCATTGCTAAATACAGCGAGGTACCTTAAGACTCAGTAATCAACATTATTTTAAAAACAGTTTCTGTGCTAGGTGTGTATGTGTGTGAGCGTCTGCATGGGTGCGCAAACACACCACACAGTCTAGCTATCCTTCGTGGTTTTGTTTCATTTTTTAATTTTTGTGATTTTGAGGGATAAATACAGCTTCCAATTAATAGCAACTGAATCTGCAGTAATCAGATGTTGGAAAATTGTTTTTCACTCGTCCTTTATGTTAGCATAACAAACTTAAGTCTTTGTTATGTGTGGCCACCTATTGTAAATATTAACATTACCTCTCATCTCCATATCTCCCCCATTTACTATTTTTGTCTTTTTCAAAGAGATGGGAGATGGAGGAGGAGTAGAATTTAATGAAGATACAGATCTGCGGAAGTGTCATATTTCGTTGGGTGCCTGGGGTGGGCAGTGTCTGCTATTGAGAGTATTTTACAGAGTGGCATTTGTGGGTAAATGCATGCTGATTCTGCTCGTTTCTACATGTATTTTTCGTGGTGTTTCCTCTTTAAAACAGGTGCATTTAATAGGCAAATTTGGTTTCAAAGCATTTTATATCTTTCTTTTAAGGAATGATTGCATATGTATGAAGTCTTGTTTCCTATCTCCTTTCATTTTTTTCTTCTCTTTTAAAATCAGCCTGTCTTCAATAGTTTCTTCGTTAGGTAAATTTAAAAATAATAAAAATCCGATGTGTTCAGGTAGGAGCTCAGTGTGAGGCCTATGGAGGTTGCCTCCTGGCAATGCAAAATCTCGGAAAGAGTTGTTTCATTACGCTCTCACCTTAGAATATTGACAGGGACAAGGCTGTCTTTGCCAAGCTTCTTCCAGACAGGGGCATGCATCCATTCTTTTGTAGGATTTTTAAGTAGGTACTTTGAATAAACGATGGCCACCTTTAATAGTTGATTTTACAAGATTCTGCATACTTCACCATGGCCAAACTTCTCTGCACGGATGGTAACCTTCATGCATTCAGCAGGGGACACCAGGGTGCAGCCTTCTCTCCTCTGTCCCTGGACAGCTACAGATTCAGGCCAGTTCAGACGGGTCCCAGAAGGGTTTCAGGGTCTCCGTCTTCTCCTTCCTGGGCATGGAACTGGCACTGGGCTCTGAGCCCAGTAGTGGCATCCCAGGGAAATCCCTCTGCCCCCCCATGCATGCTTGTCCATCTAGGTGGGCGTCTTGATCAGATTTCTGCTTGGTTTTCTGCCAGGCCTAGAGCCTGATCCTGAATCCTGGTTCCAGTGGCTTTGAAAAGCTGCCTGGGCTTTATCAGCCTCTCTCCCCTGGTGACCGGGATGCCGATGAGGATGGGATCCCTCCTTGGACCTGACAGAAGCCTACCTCCCTGACTATAACAGCCTTGTTCCTGGGCCCCACCCAAGCCTGATGGCCCTGGGTAAACCCAGGTTTATAGGCTGTGTTCATTGTTGTTCTGTTCACCTTTCTCCTTCTACACCTTACTTTGCTCTGCTGCCCCTTCCTGCTTCCAGGTAAGTCTCTGGACTTGGTGAGGGTTCCCCTTTTCCTTGTTAGTATCAGGCTCCTCTCTTTTGCCCTGGCCTGAGGATAGAGTTCCGTCAAGCTTTCTGGCTCTTCCGAGTTTTGGCAATGCTTTTTCGCCTGTGGAAGGAAGGAGTGAACTGACCCTGTGTCTGAAGCTAATGGAAGGTGAAGGGCAGGGGGGAATTATAGAGATTTTTAGAACTAACATGGTTTTCAGTTGAAAACCAGAATTAAGAGCTCTAAGTATCGTGCAGGTGCTGGGAGATGGATTTGAAAAACAAATCAGCTGGAATTTTTATATCTAATTTTGAACATCATCCCATATCCTCAGGAGAATATATCCGAACCAGAAGTCATTTGGGACCAGGTTGGGTAAATAAAGGCGCCCATCATTCATTAACGCATTAAATAAATATTCTTGCAGAGATAAATAGCTCAGGCTCTGCAGTCAGATGCCTGGGTTCAAATCCCAGCGTTGACAGGTACTTGTTATATGACTTTGGGCAAGTTAGTTAATTTCCCTATGCCTTAGTTTCCTTAATTGAAATTGAAGAGAATAATACTACTTATATCATAGGGGTGGTTGTGGGGATTACATGGTTCTGTATATAGTAAAGAAGAGTAAGCTGGGCGCGGTGGCTCAAGCCTGTAATCCCAGCACTTTGGGAGGCCGAGGTGGGTGGATCATGAGGTCAAGAGATCGAGACCATCCTGGTCAACATGGTGAAACCCCGTCTCTACTAAAAATACAAAAAATTAGCTGGGCATGGTGGCTCGTGCCTGTAATCCCAGCTACTCAGGAGGCTGAGGCAGGAGAATTGCCTGAACCCAGGAGGTGGAGGTTGCGGTGAGCCGAGATCGTGCCATTGCACTCCAGCCTGGGTAACAAGAGCGAAACTCCGTCTCAAAAAAAAAAAAAAAATAAAATAAATAAAAAGAAGAGTAGAACAGTGTCACGTATATGTATGCTATATAAGTTATAGCTATTGTTGTTATTATGACTTGCTTATTGTGTGCCAAGCACTTTACCATGCTGAGTAATAATTGTTTTGGATCAAGAATGAGGTATGGAAAGAAGGAATCAAAACTAGTTTCTCTTACTTAATTAAAAAAATACAGTTTGAAAAGTAATTGCCAGAAAGTTATGAGAAAAATATTGTGAGCAACAGCAGAATTATTTTAATCAGATAACTAACATCAGCGCAACGATATTTAGTTTGTTATTTAAATTTTGGTCTGTGTTTTTTATTTAAGCTGTAGACACAGGCGGGAAGATTGCTTGAACCCAGGAGTTTAAGACCAGCCTGGACAACATAGCAAGACCTGGTGTCTTTAAAAAAAAAAAAAAAAAAAAGAGATCTGATTTTTTATAATTGTTGGAAACCATTCCTCAGTCTTACTATTCATGTTTGCAATGCTCTCTCTTTTTTTCTTACTGTTTCTAATTTATTTATTTTTCATAGAGGTGTTTTGGTGATTGGTGTGCTTCCTCAGCTCTGCAATTTCTCTTTTTCGTCTCATTCTGTCTCCTTGTCATCGCTGTGACCCTGTTTTGTTGATTTCCTGTTCTTAGTTTCTTGTAGCAGCAAATCATTTACTGTGAAAACTTTTAATCCGCTGCTGGGAGTGTATTTTCTTCCACGCTGTGGCTTCTTC